CCGAGGAGGTGAGACAAGAGGTAAGTAACGCGATTTACACTGAATGAAAAGAGAACAACAGCCGGCTCTCGGCTTGACTGGGTGCCGGTCACTGAGACTCGCGAAGACTGAGGTCGACATACGTGACGTGAGTAACGATCCGACGTCGGTCGGTTGTCAGGCTCTCCCTCTTATCCCCTGGTGATTGTGGCTCCGGTGAAGGTGCGTGATTGCAGAGCTGAGACAGGTGCGTGCGAAGCCAACCTCTCCCAGATCCACCAGAGGGAGACCTAAACCAGCCTTTACCTGGGTCCAGAGGGGGGAACTCTGACAGTGAGCACTGTGTAACGATCTTGTTGCCTTCATTGAAAAGTGAGTCAGAATTGCCTCAGATCCACTTTTTGGCAACATCCAGGAGCTACAACCCACTAATTTGAAGGTCACACATGTTATTCACATGAGCAAAGACTGCAGGAGTTGCTTGGATGGCAATGTGAAAGCACCCAGGAGTCCTTCATCTAGAGCGCCCAGAAAAAGGAACAACCATAACACTCAAAAAGGGAAATTCTGTGTAACCCAATAATCGCTGTGTGGATACCCTAAATTAGATTCAACATGAAAATGATTCAACACATTAGTTGACCCTCTCTGGGAACCGTCACCGTATCGTTGGGGGAGAGGTTTGTGTGTCCCTATGACCCTGAGGCTGTGTTGTCGGGAGCCTTGTGCTCCTGGTAGGGTTACCCTTGGCAAAGTGGTCTCAGGCGAGGGGCCAGACTAAGAATGGTTCAAAAAGACCCTATGAAAAAACGGAAGGAGTTACCCGGCCCGGAGGAAGCCCGGGGCCCCCATTTGGAGCCAGGCCCAGATGGAGGGCCCCACAGCGAGCGTCTGGTGGCCGGTTTACCGCGGAGCCCGGCCGGGCACAGCCCGAAGGAGTGACGTGGCAGCCCAACCCTCTACTCCCCGTGGGCTCACCCCCTGTGGGGGAAACCGATTGGGTCGGGTGAAATAGAACGTCTGAATTGAGCAAAGAATTGAGAAGCTGCCCTAAAATATGGCTTTAAAGTGGAACTAACATAAGCAAAGAATTGAGAAGTGTTGGTGGAAAATATCCTGCCACCATTGTGTAAATTGATGTCAGAGCGTTATCCTGGCAGTTTGAATCAAAAACAGAAATGGGCTGAATTGGGGTTTCCTTCAAAGGGGACTTTGAGTGAGAATCAATTGGAACAGTTGGAATTGCAACTGGGGGAAAAGGGGACAAACGATGCAGCTCAGCATGCAGGCCTGTCGGGAAGAAAGCAGAAGAAGAATGTGGTATGTAAGGCAGATTGGGAAGCTTTCAAGATGTGGAAGTATGAGTCGGAGATAAGGGAGAGACAGAGGTTGGTAGCATTTAATTCATTAAAGACCAAAGATCCTACAAAAAGTTCTGAAACGTGTACCCCGTCTAACCCAAAAACACTTTATCCTTGTTTTATGAGTTCCTGAGGAGATTGGTGGACACGGATCTGGACTCCACCCCTCCCCTCACTGTTCCTCCAGCTCCCGCCTTCATGAGTCTGCAGTCTCTACGGCAGGAAGCAGCACAAGCAACTTTTCCTCGGCTTGACAACAGCCCACCAGGAGGGAAGCCAGATTCAACCTCCAACACCAGCCAGACAACCTTTTCACCTACTGTGACCCGCTCGCAGGCTCAACAAAGGCGGGCCTTGCTCAGAGAAGAGAAAAAGATGTTATTCGATCCTGCAGCTTCTTTTCCAGTGGAGGGGGCGCAAGGGCCGATGCTGGTTCTCAGACCCTGGTCAGATGCCGATGTGACCAAGGCAAAGAGCCACGTCTGCAGTCCCAAGGACAATCTTGCTAAGTGGGAGACTGATTTTCAGCAATTTGTCAGAAAATACCATCCTAGCATGTCAGAGCTGCGGCGTCTGATGTGCAGACTTCTGAAACATGACTATCACAAGGTTCAGAGTGTGTTCAACACCACAAGAATGGCTGCTCGCCTTAAAGATCCTGATTGTGAGCACGGCACAGATATGGACATTAGAAGTGCTGTAGATGCTCTCATTGTGTTGGTAAAAGAACAATTCCCTCCGAGACTGAACCTTTCCACCGTCACCTCTATGACACCACGGCCACAAGAAACATGCAGCTCCTTCCTGGGACGCCTGACGACAGCTTTTGACATCCACAGTGGCCTTAAGCGACCTGATCCAATGGGGGCACAGCCCCTGATGCCATATGAAGTCCATCTGAAAGAACATTTTTATAGCAGAATGAGACCTGAACTTAAACGGATGGTGAAAGATCATGTGTAACCTGGAAACGTGTGCTCCTTGCAGACATCCTTCAGCACGCTGA